TTTAGCAGAAATGTGCAGGTGGTTAAAATCAACAGCGCGAAATGCACCTGAAACCAAACGAGAGTTACCAAAATTTCCGCGAAATTTCATGTTATTCCGGGCGGCAATTAGCGCGATTCGGTCTGCTGACGTGCGCGATGTGACCCAGTAAAAATTTTAATTAAAACTGCACTGAAAACTGCACTGAAAACTGCACTGAATTAATCGACCTTTCGAATTCCCAAAAGAGATATCTTTGCGCTTCGATTGTTTGAGCGGAACATTCGATGTATACGTTCGCGTACCTCGTGCCTCAGTTTACGGATGCCTTATCACTGATAGATCGATAGTTACTAAAAGTTTCTTGTTACGCATTACTCTTGACTGCGGTGTGTTAATAGAATTAATTAACAGTAATGAACAAAGCATAATTAGAAACGAATGTGCTTGATAGAAAATGTTTAGTAACTATCGAACGATAGAGCGATATCGATCTATCGAATGCGCGGGTCGAGTATATAGATGGCGTCGTTGTAGGCGCGCGGCAACAGCAATTGCGCGCGCGTCTTCGATCCTTTTGCATCGAGCAGCCGCCATGGACACATCGATCGACGTCGCTTCGCGCTTGACACGTCTTTTGTCTTATTGAAAGTCGGTCTCGCGCATAAATAAGTATCGGGAGTGCCGAAGTAGCGATATGCGATCATCGGGACATATCGTAAGTATGTTGTCAGGCAGTAATCTCCGCGTTATATGTGTCGTTATATGTGAGCGATGCTTGTTGAGCCGACGTCTCGATATTGATCAATATGTTTGCGGCAACCTAATGGTTTATTGCGTTTACTATTAGGATCGGCTCACTCAAGCGATGATAGAATTGCACGGTTGTCGGATTTGTTCGGCAATTAGAAATTCGGTGATAATCAGAGGGAAAGAGAGATAAAGATGACGCTAGGATTATTCGCGCGACGCTGAATCTCGCGAGATAACGTCGATCTTTTACTAAGAGGAAGAGGCAGGAATGCACAGAGGGCGTCATGGGACGCTAATTGCACGCAGAACTATGATCCTTTTGCATGGAGCAACTACCATGTACGCATCGATCGACATCGCTCTGTGCTTGACGCGTCTTTTGTCATGTCAAAAGTGAGTCTCGCGTAAATAAATATCGGAAATGTCGAAGTAAAGATATGCAATCATTGGAACGTAAGTACGTTATTAAGTAGCAATCTTCGCGTTTGTCGATATATTTGAGTAGTGCTTGTCACGAATTGTCGAGTCGACGTCTCTTACACTTGTTATTGCCATCAACTTACTCAAGTAGTAATAGAAACGCACAATCGTCGGATTTTTATTACACGGTGATTTATCACACAGATTAGAAAGTCAATGATAATCAGAGGGAAAGAGAAAGAAACGATGTCAAGAGATATTTGTGGCGCCGAGTCTTGGGAGATAATGTCGGTCTGTTAGCAAAAGAGGAACAGAGAAAGAGAGGAATGTAGAGCGTCGTTGTAGGAACACAACACATTCACGTGCAAATTTGCGAATTTAAGTACGTTATTAAACAGTAATCTCTTCATTTGTCAGTATCGGTAAACGATGCTTGTCGCAACGTATCGAGTCTTTTATATTCGATATTATGATCGATTTACCGAGGTAGTAGTAAAATCGAACGTTTGTCTGATTTATTGATCGCGAATGAGATTGTATGTTACTTGTGATAACGTGCTTACAGTGTGGCGATCGTGCTTACAGTGTATTAGATCGCGGCACTTGACTCTTTCAAATAGGAAATCAAAGAACAGTACAGACGTGTGTGAGCGTGTGCCAAAGAGATTTCTTCGTATCTCATGTCGCTACATTGACTTATTCACGATCTGTAGCCGCTTAAAACCGCGACACCAACATGGTTTGTTCTTTTCAGCTGCACTGCTGAATTGTTGCAATAAGTTAGTGTGAGAAAAGATATATCTGTCTCACTTTAACTTATTGCACCAGTTCAAAAGTGCAGCTGAAAAGAACAGATCACAGGTTGGGTTCGAAGTTCGCACTCGTGCGGCGTTAACACTTGCTTTCGCGCCGGCGCACTATCTTCTACAGTAAAGTGTATGACCGCTCCACCACGACGCGTAACGAGAAAGTGGGGGGAGGGGGG